ATCCACGCTCTCTTTTCAGTGTATGGAGCTGTCACTGGGAAGTGACCACTTGATATGCACTACATTTTCCTGCCCTTTCTCATATAGGTGTGACCATGTAACTGATCCCAACCAACAGAATGTGTGACAATTCTTTTGGGGTTTTTTTTATTTTTTGTTTTTTTAGAGACAGAGTCTCACTGTGTTGCCCAGGCTGGAGTACAGTGGCTATTCACAGGCACGATTGTAGAGCACTGCAGCCTCAAACTCCTGGCCTCAAGTGATCCTCCCGCCTCAGCCTCCTGAAAAGCTGAGACTACAGGTGCCCTTCACCACACCCAGCTTCAACCAATGCAATATGAACAAAAGAGATGTGTGTCACTTGAGGGGCAAGAAAAGGTGTGCCTTCTACATTTTCTCTTTTCCCTTCACTCTGTGGATGAAGAAAACCACAAGGCCTTAGGTTATGGCAAAGTCACACGATGGAAAGAACATGGCTCCCTAAATCACAGCATGGGGACAGTCACCTTTAGACCAGGAACACCCACAATGTACTGTTACATATATGGAAAGTACATTTCTGTTGTGTTTGAGCCTTAATGCACTGGGGAGTCTGTTTGTTACAGTAGCTAGTACAACCCTTAAGTATTATAATTCTCTTTCCTCTTCTAGAGAAACTACTGAGTGTTCCTTAAGCATCTGAGGTGACCAAACCACGTATCTTCTCTCCAAGAACTTCTAAGCCCTTCCAAGAACTGTATGGGGTTTTCCTTACCATTTTGTCAAGAACTCCCAGGAATAACTGTGGCTTTATTGGGTAATTTCTAAGGCTGGGGTCATATCTTGATCCTCCTCTGAAGTGCCAGAATCCCAGGAAAGAGAAGGACGTAGTCAACAGTGACACTCCTTCCATCCATTTGTTCTCGCTTCCTTCCTTCCCCATCTAGGATTTCCTTGTCTACATACCAGAGGATATCCACCATGAAATGATCAGTTCTCCTTCTCCCACCTCAGAGCATCCCCATGAGGGCCAACGTTGGGAGCCCTAAGTCCAAGGTTGCCTCTTGTCACTGTCTCAATTAGCTATACACAAAAATGCTGTAACAAGACACCCAGAACTCAGTAGCTTAAAACAACAATGATCTCTTCTCATGGTCACTGGCCTTCATGTTAGCCAGGATGGCTCTGTAACACATGCCTCATTCTGATGCCCAGGTTGAAGGGGCAGTGACTATCTGGGCACACTTTTGTCATAGCAGAGATCAAAGGCTTTCAGAGGTGTAAGGAGAAACATATGAGACCTCTTAGGACCTCTGCTCAGGACTCACACACAGAGACTTCCCTCCACATTCCACTGGCCGAAGCACATCACATGCCCAGGCCAAGTGAAGGGGCCTTGAAGTACATTCTGCACACGTGGTACCTCAGCAAAGGCATGGAGTAGAACACTACCACAGAGACACAAAGAACCGAGACTATTAGCTCCATCTACCACAGTCCCTGAGGAATAGTTATACGGGCTAGTAGCTGTGCTGACCTGGCCATGAAGGTCAGAAATGTGTATTCACCAGGGGATTCTACAGTTTAAAATGAGTATTTTGTGGAATCTGAGTCTCTTTGGAAACCCTATGGCTTGTGAGCTGCAATAATCCAACAGGAGGAAGGATGAGGTCAGACAACACTATCATTAAAGAACTATCAATATTATGCTGATTACATGGATGTTCTGCTGCTATGTATTAGCCACCTACTAACAGAAACCCATCCTAGTGAATTACCAAAGTCATACACTGTCTCAAAGACTTGCTTCAATCACTCCTCATTCAGACTAAGACAAAGTCTTATGTAGAACGGAAACTCTGAGTAACAGAGCTGAGGGAAAGTTTGGACAGTATCTTTTGGCAGATGAGAAAACCCAAGTAAACAGAAGTGAGATGACTTACAAAACCACTTATACGTGAATATGTCTGCAGGGTAGTGTGCCTACACTGGCACTTCGTTCCTAGAGTAAGTCTTTTTAGCAATTATGGACCTGTACCACGGTGGGGCCCATGACACTAACAGAGATCATGAGGCTGTGAGTTCAAAGTCAAGAATTCCGGTGGGTCATTGTTGGTTAGCTTCCTTTCAGAGACACCTAACCAAAGCTGCATGAGAACATCAGGGCTCTCAGAGACTGAAACCCTGCCATAATATTCCTGTGTGGTTATCTCATAACTTGTATTATTTTTTTCCAAGAAGTTGAGATGCTGGTGATGCCCCTGGTACCCTGCCCCCTTCCTGACACCCTCCTCACTTTTCTATTTGAAACCGCCATTTCCTCTGGAAAGTTCAGATGAGAATGTCAATCCATTTCAGTTAAGATGTCACCCCTGCTCTAAAAATACTAATGGTATACACAAAAAGAACTGCTTATTAAAACGAACAAAAAATTCTATACCCCATCCCCGTATTTGAATAATCTTTTCCATTCATCCATTAGACCTTCTCTGGTCTTGGGTTGTCAGACACGATAGCACTTCCAAGATATGTTTGTCACACTATATTTTGTGTATTAAGAGCGTGCCAAACAGTGGCCTCTCCCACTGCAGAGAGAAGTAAAATCACACATAAATAAATAGGAATGGCCAACAAAGTTGCAGAGACAGACCTTTCCCAACAGGTACTCGGGTCACAGAGACAACCTGAAAAGTTTGACAAAGACTCTCTCCTTGACCAGCCTCGTCCCTGGCCCCCTGCCCAACACCCCCCACCACCACAACTTTTGCCTGCCCAACCCAGTTTTAGCAAGAATCCTACTAAGTCAGTTTAGAGAGAATACTCCACCCTTGATACCTGATCATCATTCATATCTGATCAAATTCCTAATCCCCTACCCTTGATATCTGATCACCCTGGCAGGCCTTCAGCAAGAATCCTGTTAAGTCAGTTTAGCCAGAATCCCTCTACTCTTGATGTTTCCTCTCAGTAATTTTCCATCCACTGACCCTCTTCATTCTGCTCCTTGGCTATAAATTCCCAGCTGTCTTTACTGTGTTCTGTGTTGAATCCCATCTCTCTCCCCTATTGTGATAATCTTGACACCTATCTCAATAACCCTGAATAAAGCCTTACTCTTTCAACCAGTATCAGAGTAATTTTTTCTTTAACAAGTTCCCAACAAAAAACCCAAATCCAAAATCTTTTTCTGGAATGAGAAGAGAGAGCTTCTGGGCTTCTCGGGTCACTTTCGTTGTATTGTCCACAGAGATGCAAGTAAACGACTCCTTTGAACGTTCTGCAGATGGAAGATCCTTCTATACATCGTACATGCTTGGGATTTAACAGGCAACAACTACAAAAATCGGGAAGTTCCTTCTCCACGTATATTACCAAGTTCTGGACATAACCCTGCCAGAATAGAACATTCTTCCCCAAAGGCCTCTCCTCATCCCCCTACACTCCCTTGCTCGTCTCGTCTTCAGGCTCTTCCTTGAAGCGACGGAGAGAACGCCTCGAGTGCTCATCCGAGCAAGTGCGACCCACCGGCGAATGCAAATGAGCACATGGATGTGCGCACCCACGTTACACCCGGTTAAAAAATAAATCCGGGCTCTTCCTGCCTCATCCCCGCCGAGGTCACACGCGGCGCTGGAAGCAGTCGGCACCCGGCAGCGCACACGGCAGAGCGCACGGCAGCCGCGGCCAGCGAGGGACGCCCTGGGCGGCGCGCGGGCCGGCCGGAAGCCGCGCCGGGAGGAGGGTCCGGGAGCTCGCTCGGGCGCCGTCCCCCGGCGCCGCCGAGGCCTGCTGACATCAGCCGCGCTCCTCCCCTCGCCTCCCAACACCCTCAGCTCCCGGCCGGACCCTCCTCCTCCCACCACGTGTCCTCCCCGCTCCCTCCCGAGGGGCCGCGCGCACTGGAAGCCGGAGAGGCGGAAAGGATGGCGCTGTGACCGCCGGGCCGGAGCCCTCGCGTCCCCACCCCGCGCCCCGGCCGCTCGGCCCGGCGGTGAGTGCGCGCGGGCGGCGGGGCGGGGGCGGCGCGGCCCCTCCCCCAGACCCCGGGCGGCGGGGGCGCCG